GCAGTTTGGCCACATGGAAAAAGCAATCACAATCTTCTTATGACCTGTGATGGAAACACCGTGACTGTGACACAGAGACAGCTCAGACAGAAATTTAAAGTGAGAGTTCGCAGATTTATATCACTGATTTATAATACAACAATACCAGGTAATTTCTCTGACACAAAATGCTCCCCAAAAACTATAATTTCAATGCAAGGGAACTGCCCTGATTAAGTAATAATTCAACAGGTGACTAAATGTAACCTTACCAGCTTTTAAACTTGCATCACTATAGGGGATATAGACAAAAAAATAATTTTGAAAGCTGTGTATAATAACCTAATAATCATCATGGAAAATGAGAAAATTAAGATTTTTACATTTTAATTAATGGGACTTTCAAGGTCCCTGGGACATTTTTCTTAATTTCTGCAGTCCCTCCCTTCACCATTTCCCTCAGACCAGCTTCACAGGTCTAAGCCAATAGCATGTCTCCAACGCCTCCTGCTGGCAGAAATCAGAAGTGCCAGACAAACACCTAACATCAATTTATCCATTAAACAGATAACAGATGTTGAATCTGACAGGGTGAAAAAAACTGGAAAAAACATTCGATCCAGCATTCAGATCCAAATTATGAAAAAATAACAGAAATATCTGAAAAAGCTTTTATATTCAGAGCCCCCTACAGAGCAGTTCATCGACAAAATATATGCAGCTATGTACTGTTTATGTACTGTATGCAACATCCACGTACTCTATGCAGACCCAAGATCCTCTGGATAACAAGCGACTGGCAATCAGATAAGCAAGGCAGGGTGAAGGACCTGCTCTGTTTCTGACATATATTTCAGCACAAGAGTTAATACTTTCATTCAATCTAGTATGATTGAGCACAGAAGTAACAAGAGCAAACAGAAAGGAGGAGAACATCCTAAGACAGCTGTGCTCTATAAATTACATTAGTGATTCTGCATGTTTCCTATTAAGTCTATAAACATAGGATGGTTGCCTATGGAGACTAAGAAGAAGTTAATCGATTTAAAGAGCATGGCTTCATTATACTTTCCCACAAAAACTCAATGCCCCTCAGAGTAAGGCTCCCAATCTATAATGGCAAGGATCCTTCAGGAGAAGCAGAGCCCAGGGTGAAATCCTTGTATTGAGAAGAAACAGAAACACAACAAACAATCCAATTCATGGAAGAAATTGATTTTCCCGGTAGGTCTCATCCTCATCTTAATAAAATCCTATTTCTGCTCTTATTATTGGAGTCATACATGCTGCAGAATGGAAAGAACCCACTGTGCAGCTAAAAGGGTTTATCACCCAGTTCCCATCCAAAGCAGGTTTTTATGAAGCAGACAGAGTGCATAACAAAAGCTGTCCTTGGACAATAAGCAATCTGCCCCTTATCAAAGTATATTAGGCCGCAGGCTCTGTAAATGCCAACACTAGCTTGCTCACAAGGCAGGAGTGTTAAAAAAGAGACTCTATGTACTGTATTATCCAGGATTTTACAAACCTGCAGAGCCAATACTCTACAATGCCTGCCGTCTGCAGCTATGAAAGGATAAAAAGCAAATGAACTCATCTGTTAAAATAAAAATTATTTTTAAATTATGCCAGAAACTGCCTACAACCTGTTGAATACCTCAAGTGACTCGATAAATGATGTAAATATCAATCTATGTAAATCCTTTATAATTTAAACGGGTGCTATGTGTAAAGTTATTCATCTACCCAGGTAACAGTCACACCCACATGGCACAGGGGGCAGGGGTTTCTTCCAGACTGAAGACTGAAAGCTTCAGATTTCAGACAGTCTGCTGTGAGCTCATTTCCAGCAAATTAGGATAACTCGGTGTACAGTACCTAGCACTCAGCAATGCAACAAGCACAGTGGCCACTCAAACTCACCAACCCTCTGGTACTGCCTTCAGACACCAAAACACCACACCATGCTACACCCTACTTCTTTTCAACAGTTGTTATTTATCATGTGATGACCTTTTAAACCAGTTGTGAGATCCCCTGGTTTGGTAACTAAAACCACAAAAATCTGTTGATTATGAAACAAAGCTGGTTCCTCTTAGGTTTGCATCTTGACACAAATTTCGCTTGATTCATATTATGTGCAAAAGAAACTGAGGCGAGACAAGACACAAGACAGGTGACTCTTCTCAGCTTCTGTGACACATATTCATAACTCCAATGACCCTAATTAGTCCCCAGTGTTTCTGCACTTTGGTTATTTTTGTTGAATGTTGTACTGCTGACAAATATACTTTCAGAATAAAATATCCATGCACTTGTACACTGTCTGAATGACATCTTAAACCTAGGTAGTACTGAATACTTTTGTTCTTTTGATTGGGATACCTAGATTGTTTAACAAGCTTTAATTAAAACTTACAAAGATTTATGCTAATTGAAAATAAAGACCCAAACTGTTGAACCTAGTATTTAATGAATGTAAATTCCCCAGCACTTCTCCTGCTTTATATCAGTCTAAGTCTCCTGCATCCTAATAACTCACATTCATTTTGAAAATAATAAAAGCAGTGGTGTTGTATACAAATTAAATATAATGAAGTTATTAATTGTCAGTCGTCTATGATTTGCCATGTAATTGTGACTCACCCATTCGTCACTATAGTCCTGAGAAACCACAATGTTATTATTAAAAGCAGTACTTTAAATCAGTGCCCAGTGAAGCTGAATTACTAGTGAAGTCCAGTCACCTTGAGCATAACCCTGAATATCAAGGACCACAGAGTGACGCAATTTACAGTTCTTACACAATTCCCTTTTACATCACTTTGAGCCTTTGTCCGTTTGTGTAGTGCTACTGACGTTCAGGAATTGTCTGTCACTGATAAATAGATTCTCCCCCAGGCCCCACGGGGAACTGGTGACACTGCAATTGCTCATCTGTAACTGCTCTCCTACCTGAGGTAGCTATATATAGCACTGACACAGCACTGGGAATAAAACTGCATGTGCAGATGTGAGAGTCGCCTTTTTTTCTTAACCCTTTCACTGCCGGCTCAGCCAACAGGTCGTGACTCTTCTGGTGTTCTTTGGCATTGCTCCTCTTTCAATCCACTCCAGGGATGTATGATAATGTCCAGGGTGTTAGCTGCTATACTGATCCTAATCTACAGCTTTATGAAGAAAGGGCAACAGCAGAATTATGGATAGTAATAAGCATTCTGAATGTAATTCTGACCTACACTGAGAGCCAGTGTAAAAGGTGCTGAAACTGAGGATAAGATAAGAACAGCCTGGCTGATTCATGCCCAGCTCTGGTTAGCTTCTGAACTCCGCACTTGATAGCACAGGTGACAACTGGCGAATGGCACAGCCCAGTGTGCAACCACTGATGTCTGGACTACAGGACTCAATTAAGTTGGGCAAAATTAAAAAAAAAAACAAGTATTTTAAGTTTTTTCTCATAAATACTGTTCTGTGAGGATCACTTAAAGGATTAACTGAATCATGCATACATTTCAGATTCTGGATTACATTAGCCCAATCTATCTACAATAAAGTGCAGAAAAGCTACAGATAGTTCTATTCAGTTTGCCATGAAGGAATGGATAGGACTTTAAATTAAAACAAATCTCCTTGCTTATCACTGCTTTAAAATATTCTAGATATTATGTTACTCTTGTAAATCCATATAAAATGTGTCATCCTAGTATCGTAACAGGTCATTCAAGGTCAGAAAAAAAGGCAGAGAGCAGCAAGAATTGCCATTTCAATACGAGACAAGAAAATGTCTGGTAATCTACTAGTAATCTTTGCATGGAAAAATTGAGCAGGGCAGCAAGTGTGCCCCGCATTAAAATTGACATCACAGCATTGATCTTTCATAATGAGGTCATTGGCAAACCAATGCTAATACAAGCAATATTAATTATAGAAAAGCCAGTGGCCCGCCAGCAGCAAGAATTACCCTTATTTACACGTATTAACTCAATAACAATGTGCCACTAATACCAATGTGTTAGGCATAGTGGCACATTTCTGTTTGGTGTACAATATATATTTTTATACTACAGTATTTTTTTTAAGTTTACCTGTTTAATTAATAAATCCCCATTTTTACCTGTAAACAACACTAACACCAACATGCCAGCAATCTCCCAGCAAATGGAACCTGGACATTTTTTTTTGCGCATATTAGGCACTGAACATTGCATGTAAGTCTGTATGACTAGGCCTTTAATAATTCTTCATTTAACCCACTTTATCAGTATACAAAGTATTGTAGCATTTGCCCATAGTTTACACGAACCAGACTTAACTACTTCCACTCACATAGCTATTTTGACACAAACAAGACTATAAACCCCAAACATTTGTGAAAAGGACAAAAGAAAAAGACCTTCACTACACCTGATTGTCATCATATTCACCTTGGGAACCCATGGTTTACTTGCCTTCTGGGCTCTTTCATTCCAGAAACAAAATCCATTGCAAAAACAAGGAACCCCTTTCCTTTGCAATACCGGTTAAGAATGGAACACCAGTTCCCTAGGTGTCTAGTTGGCACAACTGGCCTGGGTAAGCTCATCCTGCAAGAGTGAATGGTATGAAGTAGCAGGTGTGTGTGATTTTACAGAATTGTAGGAATTGCTGCTGATGGGCATTCTACTTTGGCTGCTGTGGTGAAAAGGAGCATCTAGCTTTGAAAGCACACCATTCATAAGAAAGCAAGCTTTGCTTTTATCTCCACCATGCTTCCAAAAACAAGAAAGAGACCCTAACACTTAGTAATATGTGCTTTTCCAAGGAAGCTTTCTTGGGAAAAACAATTCAACAATTCAAAAGCAGAAGCACACAATGTACTGTATCCTCTCAGTGTCTACTTCATGTCCTGCTAAATCACACAGTGTCTTACAAAACCTACTCTTTCTACATAGTAAAAAAACTGACAAATGAAAGGGCTCCAATTTAAAGGGCAGTACTTGTCGATTACCGGGCACAGTGTGCGCTCGGTAGACACTCACCTGACAGTCGAAGTCCTGAAAATTACGAGTGTTCTGTGGAGAGAAAGGAAAACACAATGTCAGTGAATGCACAGATTCCTTTCAGGTTTTCTGGAAGAATCTGGTGTCTTAAATAAAAGGGAAAGGTTAGTCCAGCTCCCATTCTGAGCTACTGCACTTCGCATGACAGCTTTACAATAACTGGAATTACACAGGAATCTCATTTGTTTTACTGTTTGAGGACATTATTTAATAACATCAATGTTAAACTGTTTCTCTGCTTTAAAATAAAAAGCCGGATTTTACCGTTTCATGACTTCATTTTATAAAAACAGACTTCCTTTCGTATGGAGAATTACCCTAAAGGTACTTTAGTACCTGCTATGCTCAAAAACCCGACACAAGTGAAGCGACACCATTAACAGCTGAGCTCATTTTTTAGCCTCTTAAGCGATTTGACATTACAAGCTTCATGTCAAAGTTTCAAAGCTGTAAGGGTACAAGCAGACAGCACTATGATTTTCACGAGCGCTTTGCGTAGGTGTAGGTGTGCAGCATCTTCAACGCTGTTGCTTAACTGAGATAAACCGTGCTCTGCTCCAGAACTGGCAGACGAAGGCAATACTGAGAAACCCAGGGAACACAGAGAGCAAACGAAGCCAATGAGGTAGAGGAGGTGTGAAGAGAGGAACCGCAGGGCAGGAGGCTGCAGAGGCCCACCAGTCTGCCTGTTTACCATCACACGTACTGGAAATGTGAAAACGAGAGGGGGGGGGCAACACGCAGCAGAGTGGAAAGTTCCACCTCTTCACCTCCCTCCCCACCCCTCCAGAGACACGTGAATTTCCAAAGATTTTCCGACACATGCCACAGACACAAACAAGCGAGGTTTTTTTTTTATTAAAATCCATCCGTTTTAAACCTCAGTCCTACTTTTTCCGAGCGTGGCATGCTCGGAATACAAATCAGGGCAAATTCATTCAAGCCTTGGAGCTGTGAACCACAGCCTTGCTGCTCTCTCTCTCTCAGCCGGTCTGCAGTTAGAGGACAGCTGCTGACAAGGTGCTCTTCAGGAGCTCTGGAGCTCATCAACATGAACACAGTCCCCAGCAAAAGTGTTCAACCACTAGGAGGTGCTGCAGGTTAACCAACTCCTAACAAACTAGGGTCCAGGTTCTATGACTTGGGCAATAATACCTGAATATTTATCCTTATAATAATATCCTTACACTTACATAGCACTTTTCTGGACACTCCACTCAAAGAGCCACTTAAGTAATGGGGACTCTCCTCCACCAGTGTGCAGCACCACCTGGATGATGCGAGGGCAGCCAGAGTGTACCAGTGCACTCACCACACACCAGCTATCAGTGGGGAGGTGACAGAGTGATGAAGCCAATTCATAGATTAAAGCCATTTTCTTCGCATTTTTAGCAAATATATGATCCATTTACATGTTACCTACTTTCACCTCCCTCACTTTATTTCATAACTCGGAATAATTATGGACAGCTAAATTATTATATTATGGTGATTCAGCAGCTCAATTAGAGGTTCTGATTTTGAGGTGAATTTTTTTATTTGAATTTGGACCCAGTTTCACAAACCAATCAGACAAAATTGGGCGAATTATTTTAGAGTAAAAAAAGAATAAGAATAGATTTTTTTTAACTCCGAAAAATAAACAAAAATGCTTAAGCTCAAAAAGAACAGCCAATAACTCAAAAACATCTTCGCATTGTCTCTGGTTTACAAACAACACCTGCCAAGTACTTATTTTCAACCAGCTACTCTAAAATTAAGTACAACTAATTAAAAGCTTCCAGAAAAAAAGCTACTGATTTGGTCACCAATGTATTGTCTTTTCTTGAGTTAATGATAAAACAAATCAACAAAAAACAGCAGAAGCACGTTATAAATTCATAGTTTTAACAGTAATGTTTAGATATATTTTCAGACTTTACAGCTGTTACCTTGATGGCTGTGCTTGTTTGTGCCATGAAAGTGGATGATAATTTTGACCCTAAATATTTACTCACCTTAACTACCCTCACTAAGTCAGTGCAGATTTTTATCGAAGGGACGCCGAGAGATTTGCCAACTTGTGCTTGGTCAACTTGAGTGGCAGTCTCATTTTTCACATTGAACACTCCCTTACTTTTTGATCCAAGTGAGCTACACCCATTCCCCATCCTTGAGCTCTCTCTTCCTCTTCATGACTGCTCAGTCCATTTTAGCTGCACTGCCCAAGAGGCAGAGTGATCGTCTGCTCTGGTTCATCAATAAAACAAACCACAGAAGTATCTTGCAGAGCCACTTAGCCACCACTGATTCGACATCACGCTCACACTTTACCACTCTCCACTTAACTGGGGCTTCTCAGGGAGAGCTGTTTATTCTGTGGTGCATTCAACCTGCTAGACCACTTTGCCAAGCAATGCATTTGGTTTTACTCTTTCGTTTGGTGTTTTTATGTTGTCCTGAGGAAAAAGACGACTGAAAGCTCAGAATCTCGTTTCCAAGGGCAACCTGCTTGGTAACAAGAGCATAGGGAGTCTCCGATCAATAAATGCAAAGCTCTTTTGGGAAAGAAAGTGCTATCTGATTTGACAAAGAAAAAGAAGCCCCCTTCATTTTCCTCAGTTCAGGATAATCAGCATTGTCCTCCTGAGATTCAAATGAAAATGTCTATGTCTTTCTGTTGGTTATAGTGAGCCTCGTTATTGTTAACACAGAAATACACCCCGATTTCAAAATATCCCTCTGAACATCCTTTGAAATTTACATGCATTACACACTATACCACTCTGATAATTGATGTGTTCTCACTATATACGTTGTAATAGTGGGTGTAAGGATAAGGTTTATGAGAGTGTGATGGTTTGGTGTAGGGTGACAGAAAACGGTTGCTAATTTAAGATGCACGAGAACTGGAAGAACAGCACTAACACTAAATCAGATCTTTTGCTGCAAAGCTGATCATCAAATACTGCTAACATGCTCCCAGGGTATGATTGCCAAACAGAGCTGGTACATCAAAGAGGAGCACTTTAAAATCCTTTCCGTTGATCAGAGCACTACACAAACTGACAGCTGCCATCACTGCAGGTACCATACCACAGCGATCTTCACCTTCCTCACATGGGTGTTATTTTGGTCCTTTGATAAGTAACGCTGCCATTCAGACACGACTGTAAACCCCCAGTTATGAAATCTTCTTGACAAGTGAAGAACAGACCCAGGGTGGATCCTGAGGCATTCACTACTATCTGCAGCCCTTTCCTGTTTCTCATTTTGACACTTGAAACCGACACGGAGGGGACAAAATGAACACCTAATATACACAGAATATCGAAGACATGCGCACACACACAAACCAGGCCGTCTCACAAGTGCCCATGCAAAGAAATAATCAACTTTTTTTAGATAGCACCTTCCAAAACAATGATTTAAATGTGCTCTGCTATACAGTCCATGAAAAGCACAATCACACAAATTAAAATTTAAGGATTTTTCTTTCTGAATTCTTGTTGTATTTACAGTCTGGCTCCCCAATTTCTCTCTGGGGATGGACTTCCAGACCTTTGGGTCATAGTAAAAAAAGGCCTTGTCCCCCATTGAGCATATAGACGAATATTGGAAAAATAATAACCCAGAATAAGTTGAACAAAGATGGAGGGGAGTACAAAGATGACATATTTTCAGCTAATTACAGGGATGCCAGGCCAAGCAGAGCCCCTAAGTAAGCAAGAGGCTTTTGTCATCCTCTGGAAACCTTACAGAGAGTCAGGGGTCAGGAGTGATGCGATGATCACTTACACACGAGCGAGTAAGGAGTCTAGCTGCCAAGTTCCACACAGGTTGTAACGGAAAGACAGCTGCTGTCCAAAAACTCACCTTGTTAGTCAGCAGTGGTCTGATTTCAGTCAGCTGCACATCCTGTAACTCATCCATGGTAACGTCCACCTGCTCTGGGCCCTGAAAGAGGAGAGGGAACAAGGCTGTGAACGGTGCCCAAAACAGAAAGGCTTGGCACTGCAGGACAGCCAATGCTAAAAAGGAGCCAGAGAGGGCAAGCTATACCCTACTGGGTTCTGCCCATTTGCTTGCCAGTTACCCACCGATACCTTCGTTCCTCTCCACAACGGGCACAGCACAGGATTTCAGACTGAGGAGAGGCCATGGGACATGGGAATCTTGGCAATTCGAACATAAGTGGCAAATCATTATAGGTCAGACTAAACCAAGGACTGAGTTCAAGTACCCCTGCCTACTGTCCATGAGGCCAGGTCAGAGCATAGTGAGTGAAAAGATGCAAGTAAAGGTCATAGCACATTGTATCACATTGTATGGACGGAGTGGTGGCACCGTGGCTAAGGATCTGTGCCTGTGGCTGGAAGGCTGCCGGTTCAAATCCTACTCTGTTGGGCCCCTGAGCAAAGCCCTTAACCCCAACTGCACCAGGGGTGCTGTATAAATGGCTGACCCGGCACTCTGACCCCAAGCTTCTCTCTCCCCATCTGTTTGTCTGTGTGTCTCATGGAGACCAACCTGGGGTATGAGAAAAGACGAATTCCTAATGCAAGAAATTTTATGTGGCTAATAAAGTGATCTTATCAATTAGTAACTAACTCTTCATCCATATTCTAATAACTTTATCCAATACAGTATACTGGGGGAGCTGGAGCCTATACTGGCAAGTGACAGGCTCAAGGCAGGATACACCCTGGTTGGGACACCATTCCATCGCAGTGCACACACATGCATACACCCACACCAGGACCGGCTTTACAAAAATTCTTAATTTGTGAATAACCTTATGCCAGTTATACAGTACGTACATTTACAATATTAAGAACTTGTACTGTATACACTGTAACTTAGTTGCAGTGGCAAAGATAGCACTTAATTAAATGATGGAGTACTCGTCTATAATTCACCAGGGTATCTGTAGCCGGCTTCCACATTAATCCTCGCCTTTAAATCTGTATGTCCCGACAGTAAAACGGCCCTAGCAGTAACAGGGCTGTGTGAACTCAAACCACCTCATCCCATCTCGCCTGGGCATTACAACTTGTGCTTTTCTGCTGGCCACAACTGGCTTATGGCATGGCCCTCACATGAACCTGCGGTGTCCTCCCCTTAAGACTTGCCACACACTCCAAGCTGAGGTCTTTACCCCATGGAGTTTCTCTTCCTTGCCCTTTTATCGAGAAGTGTTGGCAAACACCATTTCCAATATCCTGAAACTGAAACTGCGGATCAGCTCAAACATAGTCATCGGTCTGGGCTTACTCTTCACTCTTCAGTTTTCAGCCTGCCCCTTAAAACTGATCTGACACAAATCAATTAAGACATCTATAGTTAGATCTAACAGTAGTTTGATCTGCACTAATTACAAAATGTTTGTATAACATACAGTGTCCTGCGAATGATTTAATGCCCCTGATGAAATAGGAAAAAAGATAATCTCATAACAGAAGGAGCTACGGATATAAAAATGTGTCCAATTATATTTATACAATGTAATCATAATAAGGACCTCACTACAGGCCGTGGCTTGTCAGCATAATCAACAACAGAAGAGCATTTAGAAAATACTAACAAACAGGGGTGCAAACAAATGTGACTCTCCTGTTTTCTAGACTTTATGACAAATATGACTTTGATATGTGCAATACTATTTACATTATTGTATGATACTATATTACATTTTTAATCTGCTATTTCATCAGGAATAGGAATAATGGCACTGTGCTAACCCAGGTGTCTCCGAAGGAGTACATAATAACAGTCCAAGATAATTACAAGACTGGGTTTCAGACAGGACTGCATATTAATCTGCAGAGCCTACAGAAACACTGGCATCATTGTTACCATGGATACCTCAGTACGACAGGGAGCAAGAAAGCTTTCGAAAAGAGGCTGCAATAAAATCTGAGGCAAGATAAATGGGATGCTGAAAATATTTAATCCACCTGTCATGTTGCTTTCCAGTGTGAGTGCCACTTGGCTCTTCTGAGAAGTTAGCAGAGGAATATCTATTGCTGAGAGGTACAGTTTTGCATGAATCCACAAAAATTTTCCAGACAGCCTTTGGTCAGAATTCCAAACAGTATACATGAACAAAAACGCTCTGTAAGCTTAACTTAGAAAAACACATTACCATTAAGACAATCACTCGAGCTCAGCAAAACAAAAATATCAGAAAAAATAACACTTTCTCAATATCTGATTACGTAAAGTGAAATGATAAAGCTTTTAATAATGTAGTGTTTTGCTGCTTCTTGTCAGGTGCCTTTTTATATATCTATCCAAATGTACTTGTCATTGATTTACAACAACTGTTTAATTTAAAACGAGTCTCAAAAAGTTTCTTAACAGGGTAGTGTACTGTACATTTTATGACTCATGAAGTCAGAGATTGATTCATGTGAGATAATTTGGCTTCTTTGTATCCACGCCTCCACAAACACGTACTGTACACACAGTAGTAAGGGCCCACTGATCTACTCTCCTTATTCCAAATGTCAAGAATCACATCATGAATAATTAAGATTCTGCAGTTATCTTTAATTGAGGCAATCAGGCCACAGGTGATGCAAGTGCAGTAATTTATGCTGACAATTACGTGTCAATTAAGTTTCAATCAATTAAGCATTTGAGAAAACACAGATTGGCAGAGACTTGACTGCTATTGTCTACAAAAAAATCTTCTAATGACATCGCATTTAGATGTCCCTTCATTGATTCTCATTTCCAGATGCAAACATCCTAATTTCATCTTCCCATTTTTTACAAGGCCTCACTAGTTGTCTAACCTCTTCCCAGTTTAGATTTTCCGTTGTCCCACTCTGGCCTACTTGTCCAGTATTGTCCAGTACATTTTGGTTTATTTACATCTCCAACAAATGCGAATTCATTTGGTGTCTTCATTTCTTTTTTTCTTCCTACATATGCCTCTCCACGTCCTTCTAAAGTTATGAGTTATTTATAACTGGACATTAGAATTTCCCGAGTGCCGTCCGGATGCTTTTAAACCAGCCCAGGGCTTTCTGCCAACCAGCCCTCATCCATTTATTTTAAAACTTGCACAACTTACATTTGCCGCTTTAAAATCACAAAACGCCTTCAGAAAGAGTAAAACAAATGTGATCTGCCTTCCCTGAACCAGACTTTTTTTAAAAAATGCTTGGAAGGAGACAGAAGGAACATTCTGAGCTGTCTGTTCTCATTTTTGGGAGGGGCACGACAACCAGTCTGCTCTTCGTTCTCTCTAGCTGTGTGATCCAAGGCTTTTAGTTACATGTCCCCTGGCCTCTGGTCTGCTAGCAGATGGTATGCGGGAAAGCATTAATGAAGACAAGAAACACAGGGAACTGAAATCACATGCAACCTTGAAGGTGGCAAGTGAAAGGTTCAGTGTGATCTGTAGAGACACATCCCTGTCAGGAGAAAATAAACAAGTTATTAGTTTTGGTTTTGTAAAGGTCACTCTGCAATGAGACAACTCAAACAGAATGCAAAATGCCTTTTCTGGGAGCAGATGAGGCCATATTGCACATCATCTACTGTCAGGGGGAGGAGGTGCACCACTAAATCTGTATGGTTTCAGATTTTTCTAAAAATGAAGGCTTCACCATCCTCTGCCACAAACATATTGTTGATCTGTTTGGTGCACAAAGAAAGCACAAAGAAAACACTGCTGCACTCCAGGAGGAGCAGAGATCGCAGTGGCTCTCTGGGTCCACATTACCATGACAAGCCCAAACATGGCTGAAAGTGATGTGCTAATCACATCAATGGATTCCTTCCATGACTCCTTTCGAACACTGTTACTGAAAAACTCTGCCAAAGACACCACAAGGAATTTTCTCTTCTTCTCATGCTGTGACCAGATACTGCACCTTCTGTATCGCCATCAATTTTGCCAAACCAAAGTACTGTATGAACTCTTCTCTCAGGACCGTTTCAGGAATTCCAGACCCAAGATCAAAGATCAAACACGAGTCTTGCATAAAAAAGCACAGAAAGACCCACGGGTATCAGATGCTTTCACCTGTTGATTTGGAATCACTCCTGTGTCATGGCCTTAACTCAGAATTGAACAGGAACTCTAGGCCTATACGGTCTTAATCACTCATCCAATTTGTCAAAGGTGAGGCGAGTCAGCAGATGAGCTGGCTTCATTAGAATGGGGAGCTTCTGCATCACAGTAATCCGTGCAGACAAACAAAAACAAGCGCAAACTAATTATGTAAATAAAAAACAAGCACAGATCAAGCATAGGAAATGCTTAATGCTGAAAATCTGCTTAAAACTCATTTAAACCAGATCAGCTGTGCAAATAAAAAATGAGGGAAAAGGATATTCCAAATGTTTACAAAGCTTTATCGCTTATTTCAATCCAAGACTTCCTTTAGTGTAAAAGAAACTGATTCAGAAAGAAAATGCAATCCAGCGTCTCGTAATCCCACATTCTAGGGGCAGTCTCAAAACAAGGAGATTCACTCATTTTGCTTGTTTTGAGATTCAGTCTTCCTTCTTCCCTGAAAGACACACTGGTCACTCCTCATCCACATATCTTACTACATAACTATTCACATTTTAGAGAAATAAATGACCTCACGGAGGTGCTCATTTAATTTACATTCCTAACACCAAAGGCAACCCTGTTACCACATGGAATATTTAATCTATGGTAAATCTCAGAGTCTGATCATATAATTCAGAACACTCATCATTAGGACAACTGCACATGCTTTAGATATTTACCTACACAGCTGATCTTAAACAGCTCTTGCTTTTATTACTTTTATTAGAGTTACAGTCACACTTGTTCTTTTTTGCCCAGACTGTCTGCTGTCCTCTACACATGCCATACACTCATTTTGCACAGAGCAGCTGCCTATCGGTCTTTCTTTCTCTGAAATGATCCCTGTTACTTTTGAAATTTAGCATTTTTTGTCTGCGTTGCC